GTGGCTTCATAGAGCTAGCCACGATTTGAGATAATGCTAATGATGATGATGATTTTTTATCATTTTTTTTCCATGATTCCATTATCATAACCATTCACATTCATATTTTTGTTTGCAAGCATCCTTCTTTTAAACTGATTGGCTAACAACTCATGGTTTTATCTTTTTTTTATATTGGTTTATTTGGATTATATCAGGAATCAGCTTTAAGTCCCCATGTTTTTATGCTTAGTTATGGATCCTCTTACTGGACCCTAGTGTATGTTTTTTGTTGATGATATCCTTCTTGTGAATCAGACTAGAGAATGAGTCTAGGAAATACTGAATTATGGAGGTCTATGGGGGAGTTTAGAGGCCTTTGTATGAGATCTAAAACTGAATATTTGGAATATAATTTTAGTAGTAGTAGCTCTGATGGCATAGTAGCTCTGGTGGCAGAGCTGTAATTTTGGGTGATCAAATCATTAAAAGTTGTGATTGTTTTAGATATCTCGGTTCTATTGTTCAAAGTGGTGATATTGATGGGGACGTTATTAGTAGAACTCAAGTTGGTTGGTTTAAGTGGAGGAATGTATCGTGTCTATTGTGTGATAGAAAGTATCATTCTTGTGGATAAGACTAGAGAATGAGTTTAGGAGATATTTGATTATGGAGGCCTATATTGCAGTCTAAAGGCCTTCGTGTGAGTAGATCTAAAACTATATATATGAAATATAATTTTAGTAGTAGTAGCTCTAGTGGCAGAGTTGTAACTACGGGTGATCAAATCATTAAAAGTTGTGATTGTTTTAGATATCTCGGTTCTATTGTTCAAAGTGGTGATATTGATGAGGATGTTATTAGTAGAACTCAAGTTGGTTGGTTGAAGTGGAGGAATGCATCGGGCTTATTGTGTGATAGAAAGTATCACTTAGACTAAAAGGAAAGTTTTATAAGATAGTGATGGGACCTGCAATGTTGTATGGCGCAAAGGGCTGGCCTTTAAAAGAGAAGCATAAAACAAAGTTAAATATTGCTAAGATGAGAATGCTTAGGTGGATGAGTGACTTGACACTTAAGAGAAAATGCGAAATGAATATATCCGTGATAAGGTTGGTGTAGCTCCAGTGGCGAACAATATTAGAGAGAGTCGTCTTAGATGGTTTGGTCACATTAAACTTTTACCATCTGATGATCCTGTTAGGAGAATAGATGTTTTAGATTTCACTTATATTAACAAAGACAAAGGTAGAGCTAAAAAGACTTGGGCATATTGTATAAAAAATGATCTTAATCTGTTAGAACTAAATGAAAATATAACAGTCAATTGGACACAATGGAGAAAAATGATTCATGTAGCCGACCCCACTTAGTGGGATCAAGGCTTATTATTGTTGTTGTTGTTGATATTGGTTTATTTGCTGAAGTATTCCAAATGTTTCTCCAATATCAGGTGATATCTGGTCCAGATCCTGTAACTATCCGAGCAAAGCTGCAAAATGCTCTTCCACACTCTCCTGAGAAGCAATTGGTAAGAAATCAAGTATTTGTCAGTTGATCCATCATTGAACTTTGGTTAATTATAGTCATATCTTCAGCCTTATCCAGCTAAGTGCCATTGTCTCTGAGAATAAACTGTTGTTATTTGGCTCTCATACTTGTGTCATTAAATGTTTTAAAACGTGATCATTATTTTGCTTTTTTGCATGTTTTACGATCATGATTCATTTTGCCATTTCTGAACTAGTAATGTTTTGAAATGTCTATTTGGCTTTTTGCAGTATGATCCTGCTATGCTTCATACTTCGTTTGCAAGGATTCTGGGGCACCCTAATGTTCCATTAGAGGTAATATGTCAAACACATCTCAGTTGGCTTTTTATAGCGAGACACCTTTTTGTTTTATCTTTTCATGGATATGTACATTGTAGGGTTTCTTGGTCAATCCGCTATAATTATTCTTGGGACATTTACATTCATACAACCCAATTCTTATGTATTTACATATCTAATAGCTAAACTTTAACTTGTACATTTATACCACCCAAATCTTTCATATCACATCAAAAATGCTATCATTTTAATTTTTAACAAGTGAAATCCACATTTTCATGCATAGGGAAGGTGGCATATGTATGTAAAAATTGAGATTTAGGTGTTAGATATGTAAATACATAAGAGTTGGGTGGTATGTATGTAAATCTTCCATTATTTTATTGTGGAAGTTATTTTAGTGTCAGTTTCTATGCATACCGTTAGTCTTATGTCCCAAGTTTTGTGTGGTGGGCTCTAAGCAAGGGGGAAAATTGTGCAGGGCATCGTAAGAAGGATAAAGCAGGGTATCCATTTATTATTATTATTATTATTATTATTATTATTATTTTATTTATATATATATATATATATAATATATCTTTGTGTGTGTGTGTGTCGCCTACCATAACTCTTTGGTTGGCAAAGTTTGTAAGATCTCGCGGGTTCGATCCCGCCTATGTGCGAAATGAAATCTTAGAAACATGAGGTTGGTCAGGAGGCTCGTCTAATTGCCTATTGCCAATCTTTTAAATATATATATTTTTGCATGATGTGATTGTGAACACAACTGATAATAACCGTAATAAGCAATGTTCACTGGATTGATATTCCTGCTCTATAGCAGGTTGAGTTACTATATCTAACAGCTGCCTTATTTCACATGTGAAAATCATATGCGGGGTGCGGATGAGAGAAAATGGATGGCGTGCTTAAATTTGCAAATAAAATGATGGGGGCTCTGTTTATTTGTGACGAGATTTCCTTTTCACTATTTTTTAGACGCATTATGGTATTGTTCTTAACTGCACCTTCCATTTTGACAAGCTTGGTAATGGTTAACTCAACAACAACAACAAAGCCTTAATCTCACTAAGTGGGGTCTTGGTAATGGTTAACTCATGGTTGAAAATTTATTCTATGCATCATAAATTGCAGAATGAAATTCTGAATAATTTTAGATCTTAGCACGGAGAAAGGTGACATGTGATCTTGTCACCAACATAGCATATTATATCTTCTATTTAGCAAGAAGTTTCTTAAATTTTCCTTGGCTGTAACTTATATTTGTTGAACTTTAAGATTTCGAGAAGAATGCCAACCTTAACCAAATGTAGCAAGTCAGTTTAATGCGCCAATTATGCTTAACTATTAGATTCAAATATAAATGATGGATTCAAATTGTTGGGCTCGAGCATTAGTTAATCTTAAAGGACCACGATACAGATAGTGCATTCCAATCCTTTAACTCATACTTACTCAATATGGAGTTGAGCTGATTCATCTGTTACAGATTTGAGATTTAACTAATCTATGAGTGATCCATTAGATTCAAATATGATAATATTGGTTTGTTTCCAAGCATGATTATTTTAGTGAACCAAAACAACTTTGTTGAGCAGGCTCAATGCTTAAGCCATACCCAATCTAACCTATTTGAGCTTCAGTTGAGCTCAATTTTAAATGGCTTTCAATTTAGCCTCGATGAATTATTGATATAGTTCCACTTATCTGATTAGAGCTCAAATTCACTTGGTTACCCAAATCAATCTATTGGAATCAAAGCCAATTTGCCCTAACCTGTTTGTGGCTAAAACTTGAACTAAATCTATGTTTGATTATTTAGCTTAATCAGTCCTCATTAAAGACAACTGAACTGGTATATTCAAATTGTCGATTCAACTCATTTTAATTGTGTTTGAATATATTTTAGTCAAGTCAAGTGCACCCAAGCGAAATTGATTGTTTACATGACCCAATAACTAGACCGAATCCAAGGCATGGTAAAATTTAATAAACATAAAGAGTAATGCATTATTAGCAAGATGACAAATCTAACAAACTAAGCAACTCATTTCTCTTGCCTTTTACTAACATGGTACAAAATAATTGGTTATACTAAGATGGCATATGATAAATGTGAGGGAACATCAAATCACAGGCATATCCCATATGCAAAAGCATAAACCCCATCTAAAACCCAAGCATGCCTCGACGCCCTTACAAGTATGTAGCTGCCCACTTAAGCTACACCTATTATTCAGCCAAAATCCCCTCACCAACGGGCAATCACTTTTAATAAAATAAGATTGTTTAAACTTTAATGTGTGATTTTGTTATCCCTTCACTGTATTTGCTGCTCAAATTTTGAGGGATGATGCTTATGAACTTTTCTTGAGTGTGTCGAATTGGGCATCTCCTTTATGACTTGATCCCAGGAGCACACATGTTTCCTTTTTAGGAGGATTTTACTCTTGTGAAATTTATAACTTCAGACGGGAACGTTGACTTTTGACATCCCAGTTAGATTTATGTTACTTTATTAGTCAACTGATCTTCCAAGAATTTCATAGGTTATTTTAGAAACTTCCTTTGGAAACATCAATTTTGACCGTTTTTTCTTGTTCATGGAGCAAAGGTAGCATTTCAGTTTTTGGAGCCTCTTGCAAATTGCCATAGTAACGTCATTTGTAAATTATATAGGCTGATTTATTATTATAGTAATATCTCCTCTTTCAAGTTCATCAAAATTGATGAAACGTTGATTTTCTTTTTTTCTTTTTTAATTGGTAAAAGTTTCACTTCAAGCTCCATTTTAAATAGTAGAGGCATCTCCACTTATATTGTTAAGACAAGTTTATTTTCATTTTGGATTTTTTTGAATGGTTGAGAATACACTGTTCTATGGATATACAATCTTGACTACTTGTAAATCACCTACCCTTTTGGTGGAGTCAATCCTTATGGCCAAGTTTTGACACATCAGGTTGACCATTCATTGCCAACAAGCCTTGACTACTCACCGAAAATATTTCAGTACATCGTCAATGATAAACTGGGTCCAACAAGTCTTCCTAGAGCAATGGAACCCACAGTATCTTAATCAAAGTTGACCATTCTCCCCATTCATTCCCTCATATATTAATCGAGTTTCAACCCAAATTCGGACTATAGTGATATGCATGAGTAGGGTTGTAAATGAACCAATGCACTCGATCAACAACTCGAACTTAACTTGACTAAGACTCTTTCATGTTCGTTCAAATTAGTAAATAAATAAGCTTCAACAATTTTAAAAACTCGAAACTTAGATGAACTATAAACATAAACATATTTCAACTTGTTTATTTATGTTCATGAATAAACTCGTTTATTGTTCAACAAGTAATTTGTTAGATACTCGATATTAAATTCAATCATAGTTCATATCATATGATTTATTATTTAAATAAAATTTAAATAATTAAAATTTATTTAATTCATATTTACTAGTAATATATTATTATATTAATAATATTTTTAGATTAATCATCAATTATACATTTATTTTATTAAATTTTAGATGTTAGATGTGAAATTACATAATACTTATGTTTTATGTATGAAATGTCCTTAGAATTAACTCCCACAAATTTTACTTTCCTTCTTCTCTCTTGTACTTTCGCCTCTCCCGTTTTCATCCAAAACATCGGTCCTGCCGGCGCGAACTGGTGATTCTTCCGGTCCGTATGCAGTAAAAAACCACCATCCCTTTAAAACCAGGCGTAATTGTTGAATCGTCGGCTGACCGGCGAACCGTTTCTTTTTGAAAACCTCACGTTGCGATCAGGCATGCTTGAGTTTCGAACGTTTGGGTTTTAAGAAAAATCAAAATAAAACTATAAAATGTTAATTTTTTTAAAAAATAAAACAGCTTTTATATATATTATTATACTGCTTTGATTGAATGTGCTTTGATCGGTAAGTTTAGAATATAAAAGCTTTGGCAAATTAATAAGTGGGCAGTGCAATGACGTGACTTGACACTTCAAGAATAGAGAGAAGTAATTATTACTTATAATTTTATAAGTATAGATTAAAAAACGAAAAGGTATGCAAAGGATTAGAAGTAATTTTCTCATTTAGTGCAGCTCAATCTGAATTAATTAATTAATTAAGATTGGTATTTTAATTTGAAGATAAAAACAAAGCAAGAGAAGACGTAGAAAATTGTTTGAATCAAATTTGATCGCAATAAATGAATGAATAGAAAATTCAGTTTGATTTAAATTTTTGATTGAGTAAAATATTAATACGAATATTCGTGAAGAATATTTTATATTATTGGTTAGTATATCATTGTATATTATTTATTAATCCTTTTTCAAGTTTATATTATTATATTATTATTATATCATTTAGGCTATATTTAGTTAATTTTATTTATTCATTCCATCATCCTCCGGTTCAACCTGGGTTGGTTCAACCCGGGTTCGACCCCGGTTGAATTAATGAACCTTGAACTGTTCCTCATGCCAATTTAATGTTCGGTCCGGTTTTCACAAACTTGCTTAAACATACGAAATAGTAAGTCGCTAGTGCGTGCAAGTAAGGTTGTGTAAGTATCTTTGAAACACTAGTTTCTAATAATCTTCTATTTCCATTATGCTCGTAAGTTTTACCTGATTAACCCACATTTCTCTTCATTCCTTGCAGCCTACTTCATCCGCTTGAACTTCTCTAAATCCTATAATTTCTTCTTAAAATTTCATTTATTATATCTTAGGTTTAAGGCAAAAAAGAGGAGAAATGGGATTTAAGATCTTGTATAGTTTAAAGTCATCATTTTTGTTATTTAGACAATATTCGTATTCTAAGGCAAAATGGAGGAGAAACGGGATTTCAGACCTTGTAGAGCTTTATTTTGACATTTTTGTTCATTGGTAGGATTTAGGTTAAAATATTTATTAAATTTTTAATATGAAAATTTTGATACTCGTTTGAGTCTTTAGCTTGTTTAAATACTAGTTCACTTGTCATAAACAAATCAATTACAAATCAAATTCAAACATTGAAAAATGTAAACAAGTCAAGCTTGAACAATATATGAAAGCTCGACACAAGCTCAAGCCGAACATGAACAACTTATAATAATACCAAGCCAAGTCCAAACAATAATATACTTGGCTCGATTACAGCCTTATGCTTGAGTTAGCGCGTGGCTACTTGGTCTAATCCACCCCTATTTCAGTTGCAGCTCTTATACAGTTTAGGTGTTTATTACAATAATTTATCCTGACAATTATCTTTATTATATTTTTGTTTGAATAATTATTCTTCTGATTAAATAACAGAAGATGGAGAACTCTTCTGATCTACTCAAATTCTTTCATGAACTCGTTGCACGTGTGAACAATAAGATCCATGGATTTCAGGTAGTCTCCTTTGCATCTTTGAATTCCACTATGCAAAAATTGGAACTCTATCATCTCGATTTTCGCCTTGAGCTAATTGTTGTTACATAATTAATGGTAAATTTGGCATCAAACGGACATCTAATGTAATCTAAATGATGTAAAACAGCCTCGCCTCAAAACTTTTCTTACAAAAATCAAGAATTCAGTTTAATATAAAGAGAATTTAATTATATTTATATTAATTCTGTATCTAAATATTTGAATATAATTATATTTTAGGGGCATTTATGCAAATAATATCGAAGCATTCCTTATTTACGAAGTTAATATCAAATATTATATTTTGAACAAATATCTCATCATTGAGAATTTGCTTGGTGTTAAAAATGTCGGTTGAGATCTTGCTATGAATTTCAATTTTTGCAAAATAGAGGTAGAATGGTGTTAGCTTTGTAAATAATCAAGCTTTGGGTGCTAATTACAAAATTGTTGGCTCATTTGCTAATTAGTTGAATATGTTGACTTATCTCAATTGCTTTCCCTCTTCGATCAGTGTTATTGTCATCTCTCTTATAAATAACTGGGGTATGTATTTACATATCCAACACTTTAAACTTTGCTTTTTTACATATATACACCCACAATTTTCACATCACATAAAAAATACTGTTATTTTATTTTTTAAAATGTAAAATACATATTTACATACACATATTAGGAGACATATATGTAAGAAATGAGGGATATGTATGTAAATTTTCCTAAATAATTATTGTCATAATGATTCAGGCAACTGTTTCTGAGCTATGGTTTGTGGAGGAATATGATGTCCTGGCACTTGCACTGGATGGGAGAATGAAGGTACGAAAATTCCCCTTTGGCTGTTCAACCCATTGATAACTCTTTTTTTAAATTATTCCAACTGTAATTCTCTCCTTTTATTTATTTTTTTTTTTTTTACAATTGTGACAATTGTGTAATAACTGTTTAACTGTTTTATTGACTTGTAAAATGGACATGGTCTTTTCATTAAAAAATTGGCCATTTTATAAGTTTCAATGTTGGGATTATTTTAAGATACATATAATACATGCTTAATCAATTAAATTTTATTTATATAGATGTCTTACTCATGTTTTGGGTTTTAAGAACCAATCGGATCAGACAATTCGACTGGTTTCATTGTGAAACGGCTATTCAGCAGGTTTGGTTCAAACTCAGAATTATTTCTGCATAAAATTAAGATTAAACCTGTCATAATTAGGAAAATTTATTATATCTAGAAATTTGCATCGATAGTGATAGTCTAATGAGAGTGTGCCACGTAACAAGTGGGCCCCACCTCCCAAAAAAAATCTATCGTTGCAGTGGGGCCCGCTTGCAAACTCGGGACTCAAATTTCATTATGGTGCCCAGATTCAATAATCCCTTCATAATTAGGGGTTAAATTGGCAAACTGGTTTTTAAAAAAGTCAAATATTAGTTAGTTTTAATTTAAATTTTATTATTTAGAGTATTATTTCGAAGTAAAACACTATTTATTGTATCCTTAAAAATAATATTAATATATTATTAGTATATAATATAAATTATATTTGATGCGTGCCGGGGTTTTCACAACCTTGCTCATATTATTTTTTTTATAGTAAGAATATATTTGATCAAGATTAGGTTTCAAAAACATGACATAAGTTAGTTTAATATAATATAAAAATGATTTATATGTTGATATGTTATAATCATATAAATTATTTTTATTTGCAATAATTGAAATGAGTCAGCATGTGGGGAACACGCTCAGCGCGTGCATGGATCGTGCCGTCCACGTACGGCCCCCCCTGCGGCGATGCCTCCGTTGATTTTTATCTCCTTCTCACTCTCTCCTGTCAAAATCATTGTGGCCCTTTATGTGGCGACGAGGTGAAGGTGTGGATGGGAGTAGGGCGTCCTTCTATTTCTCTAATCGAACCTGATCTCATCTGCATTCCACTTTAATTTATCATCACATTTATTATTATATTTTATAAAAAATAAAAATATTTTAATGCCATTTTAATTGTATTTTATATTCAGTTTGAATGCTGATAATGATTTTAATTGCATTGTTATGTGTAGCATTTCTCTATCAAGACATCAATTATTTTTTTCTAAATTTAAATCTGAATCAAGTTGAATGATTCGGTTATTAAAATATTATAAATTTCATAGAAAAGAAATTGGAAAGATCACGAAAATTATGAATAGAGCTGTCAAAACGGCTCGTTGTTTGCAAATAGCATGTATTCGGCTCGTTAAGAAATTGGTGTTCAGCTCGTTTGCTAAGTTAACAAGCCGGATATGAACAACACAAATAAATATTTGTTCGTTTGTGTTCGGCACGTTTTGATTCGAAATACTACTAATCAATAATATATATATATATATATTCTTGATGAGTAGTATTTTTAAAAAAATTTAATTGATTACAAGGCGACAAAGATTTACAATCAATTAAAAGTATTAATTAAGAAAATTAAATAAAAATTATTAAATTAGATTCAAATGATGTTTTAAATCTTGCCCCAATCCTTAACATCTTATGCTACGTGATTAGGTTTGACAAAATGATTTTTTGTTCGTGAACGGCTCGTGTTCGGCTCGCTAAGAAAACGAGTCTAACACGAACACGTTTTTTGAACTCGAAATATAAACAAGCCAAACACGCTCAGCTCGTGTTCGACTCATTTACACCCCTAATTATGATCCTTTGTGGGCTTATTATTAAAAAGGGGGAGTTAAAATGAAACATATTTTCTTATTTTCTTATTTGTGCAAATAAAATGATTGTATTTGAGAATTTATAAACCATTTGTAATGTCTATAGTTATTTATTTAATAACAACCAATCAAATGGTAGATTCAAACAAATTTTATTTATTTATTTATTTGTTTTCATTTTATGCAGTTAAATGTGCTCTTAAATGACTTACATTAACTTGCACAGTAAAAAATTGAAGTTTATAATACACGAAATTTAGGGCCCCCTCTAAAAATGAAAAATAATTGTTCATGCAGAATACCATACCACCAACACCAGTGTTATAAATATAAATATGAAATTCTATATGTTAAATATGTAAATACATAAAAAAATTGTGTCACATGTAGAATTCTCTTTAACTTTCTTACATTAAAACACTATATTTTTCTCATAAACTTTAAAAATTCAACAAATGATATTTCATTGGAAAATTTTATATGTTTTTTTTAATAAAAAGAGTAGCTTAACTTCTAAAAATCTATCCCAACTATAATGTTTTATGATGCATCATTTAGGGGTTGTTTGATAGCCGCTTTTAAGCAGGATTTATGTAGGATTTACGACAAATCCTGCCAAACGGCAAAAATAGATCGTGTAAATCCTACAGATTCTTAAATCTCGTTTTGCCTCTGTTTCACGTTATATTCGAGATTCATCAAATCCAACAAGAAGCAGGATTTACGGGATTAAGAGAAGTTTTGAGACGTGTGACAAAAATTAGAATTCATAAGTCTGATTAAAACATACCAAACAGTTTTTAGGATTTAAAATCTTCGAGATTTGGTAAGTTCGGATTTACAGAATTTACTAAATTTTATTCAAGCCAAATTCTACTTGCAACCAAACATCACTCAGCAGTGCATGAAACTATGGGGAAAATATCATATATATAAATAATAAATATAAAGTTTTACATAATTAAATGTAAAAAAATAAAAAATTAGGGCTGCATGAGCCTGCTTGGAAGGTGGGGCAGCACGTAACGTGGCTGCACAAGCCTCGTGGGGCTTGGCCTGCGAAGCCGAGGGTGCTCGGCACACGCTGAAGCGTGCCGTTTGCCCTACTCCCATTCTCTCTCTCGTCCTCTCTGAACTTCAATATGGCTTCTTTCCCTTTCGCACCGCTTTTCCGCAATTCGTCTTAGCACTTGAACGAAACATCGATCGTTCAATCGATTAATCTTTCAATTTTTTTCAGAAAAATCTCAACCTTTTTTCTCCCTTTTCCGTTCTTTAACAGTTTGCTCTGAGGTGAGCTTTGCACTAAAAATCGATTTTTTTTTTCTTTTGTAATCTCTGGTTCATTAAAATCTAGTTTTCTTTCTTTGAGCTGCAATTGTTTTTCCTCCCTCTTTCCAATTTTTCATTGCCTCACAGATCAAAAATGCTTTTTTTTTTCTTAATTTTGATTTTCAACTGTGAATTTTGGTCGATTGCTTATCCAAATTAATATGTTTGGCAAACAGGTTTCATTGATTCATAACTGAGAGCTGAGCATGGTATCAGAATCTCCCAACTTTATGAGCAGTGTTGCTGCAAAGCCTGTTAATGGGTGAGTTTTATAATCAGTTGATGTGCTATGTTTTCTGTGACATTTATATTGTATAATCTTATTCTTCTACATTGATCTCATCACAGTGTTTTACTGATTAGAAGAAGAATCTGGTTGTGGATTGGAAAATAAATATATGCTCATTATCATAGTTTGTGTGTTGCACTAAATTATTCATCTAGGAGCTTATTTAAATATATGCTGAGAGTTAATAACCCCATTAAACAACTAGCAGGAACCTCATTAAACAAGTGCCTATTTTTTGTATTATGTTTTGTTCGTGGGTTATATTACATCTTTGTTAACACCGGATTGGAGAAGGTGAGTAAATATCAAGAAATTAGGAACCCTTGGCTCTCTCTGAGGTCTCTTATTTATAGGCAGAGATTTTGGATCTCAAGTGCAATAGAATATGCTGCAAAGTTTGGCTTTGTGTAAAGTGCAGGAGGCTATAGCCTAAGGACTTGGATCCACATCAACAATCTATTTTCGGGCATGCGAAATCATTAGTTCCTTGTTGGTAGTCATGGATTATTTTTTGTGGGCTCAGATGGCTGTTCGAACATGGCAGGTCCAGTGAGTCAAGTTACGAGGCCAAATGAGTTAGCTCTTCATGAGTCTAATAGATGTGTTTCTCCTTCTTAGTCAACTAATGAGTCCACCACGATGCGGGCGGGCTCTTGCCTTTAACGTGGTTGGGAGACTCTTTCGAGGACTTGATTGGTATGTTTAGTGAGGCAATTAGAATCGGCTTGACGAGTTCATTCTTAGTCTAGCCAGATGAATTCTTTCGAATTTTGGCTCGAGAGCGATCATTCAGGATCTGCCTTTTAAGTTAATGATGCCTTGATACTGATTGACATCATGAGGATGCGCACAATTTCCTTCTTACAGGATACCAATTAGATGGCTAATCAGCTTAAGCACTTCAGATAAATTAAATTAAACCTTATTTGCTTTTATTACTTTGATTTGCTCCATGTTGCTTTTAGGATTTTTGACCTACTTTTTCTTCAACAGTATTCAAATTTACCATAATTTGACTTGTCTTACATTGTTATCCTTATGAGTAAGATTATAAATTAGGCGGAAACAAATTTTTCCGAACCGAATTGTTGAAAGCTTTAGTCAACATCTCTTTGATGTAAAGTAGTGTAGCAAAACTTCACAGTTCCAGATAAAAGGAAAAAATAATATATCTTCATGTATCTCTTGGCTTCTAAAATTTACTATAAAGTAAATTATATTATGGTGCTTCTCAAGTAATCATACTTATCATGAATATTAGGAGTTGTGTGTTTTTAATGTTTCCAAATAAAAAGAAACTATTAATATCAGCTTGTTCTTTATCTTAAGCATTAATCATATTATTTACGACTTTTTGGACTTTCAATTGCTTAAATCTCTGTTATTTGGATCAATATTTGGTGACTCCTTAACTTGATAATGTTGTTTAGGCTTCAAATGCCTGAGGGTTTCCTTATGCAGGTCTGTGCCCGGCAAAAAGATTCGAGTCAAAGTTCCGAAGAAAATACACAAGGCTGAACGAGAGAAGCTGAAACGTGACCATTTGAATGAGGTCTTCTCTGAGCTTAGCCACGCGCTCGGTAAATATTTTTCCTGATCATCTTCTTTTTCCTTATTTGATAACATATTAGCATTGATTTTATCATAACAAATAATCACTAGTTTCAATGATTTCAACAATTATTTAGTAGAATTTGTACAGTTATCTTTTATAGTTATAATGGATTGTGGGATATTATCCAAATTTCTACATCCATATATGGTGCACAAATAAATGAAAATTCCCAGGTTAAACTCCCGCTTGTAATCACGAACTTTGAGTGAAAACTCTATCATATCGAAGCTTCACACTGAATCACTTTAGGATTGTCTTCAAAATCTCTCCTTTCTATGAGTTGTCTTTGTAGCTCTATTCGACAAGCTCTTCTTTAAAAAGAGATTCGATCATGTGTTTTTGTAAATATACACATCAAGAGAATCATCATGATCCCTCTCTCACACACCTCCTCTTCGTGCTTGGTTCATATTTAATAAGGTATTAGCGTCTTTCTATAAAGAATATTAGTTCCAACAAGCATCGTAAATGTTTTCGCATTTCTTAGGGGAGGCCGTCCATTAACAGTTTTAAAAAATCTTGTAAATTTGGATTTACCAAGTCCTATCAACACCAGGATTTAGTAAATCCATGATGTAAGACAACTTCTATCTATCAGATGTAAGTTAAATCTCACTTAAATCTATTACCAGACACCCCCTCGGATGTAGGATGCATTCATTACCATCCCTCGAAACAAATTTCTACCTCAATTCAAATTATCCTTTTTGTGTTTGTGCTTAGTGAATTCTATGCTGCATCAATAAGATGTTGTGCCATGAAGACACATTATGCAAAAAGGCAGCTACTTATGGAAAATTGCATATATAATATGTAATATATATCTGCATTAATAAATATTATCACATTAATTCTCAGATCCAGCTCGTCAGAACAATGGGAAGGCCACCATCCTATGTGATGCTGCAAAATTATTACGGGACCTCATCACACAAGTTGAATCCCTCAAGAAGGAAAATCTCGCTCTGCAAAATGAATCTCATTATGTAAGTTTCTTCAGCTACATAACAATCTATTTATGTTTGTTACAAAATTATCCATCTTCTACAGGTCACAGTTGAGAAGAATGAACTGGAAGACGATAATGCTGCGCTTCAAGGCGACATCAACCGGCTTCAGAACAAGATTCAAGAGAGCATGCGGCATGAACCGCCCTCGCCGCTATCGGAACCCAACTGCTCGGCTTTGCCGCAGCAGCAGAGTTCGTCGGTTGCTCCGGTCTTCGTCGTTCCTTTGAGCCAAGATCTTCAGCAGGCTCTGGCTGATGTTACGGGGCCGTCGTCTTCGCCAAAGCCTTCTTCTCAGATCAGCAGGCCTCATGCAAGGTATCCAACTCCAGATTCTTGGTCGCTGGAATTCTTATCCAGAAGCCTTCAAGCTTCAGGTGCTGCTTCTAATGGCTGGCTTGGAGTGGATAAATCTTAGTTTGATTAGCAATTGTGGAATAACTATTTTGGTGGGGATTTAGTAAAAATATCTTTTGTCTGAATGAGTTTATTGTCTGGTTTATGAAGATTTATATTTTATATATATATATATATATATAAATAATAGAGCTGTGTTAATATGTATGTAGAGATTAGGCTCTATTTATTGTTGTGATGTATAAAGTGGAGTTTTCACTCATATAAGAAACATGCTATGTGATTGATGTTAGTCTACTGGATGTTTTTATAAGAAACAAATGTTATAGGTGAGGAAAAAACATGTGCTGATTGATGATGTTATAGGTGTATTCAAGATGTATTTGTGTGTACACTCCTAATCCACACGTACAGATTCCGCTCGTAATATTTTTTCTTAGACGAGGGATATAATTTTTAAGATTAATAATGTGGTGAAATATAAAAACAACTCAAATATATTATATATTAAAAAATATTATTTTAAATTGGAAGATTTATATGCTACTCAATTCTAATGTATTTACGTATCTAACAACCAATCTTCAATTATACATATATACATACATACATTCCTCCTTATTTATGTATGGAGATGCATATTTCATTTTTTTACATTAAAATAGTGATATTTTGATATGATTTGATAGACTTAAGCATCACAAATGTAAAGAGCAAAATTTAGGTGTTAGATATATAATAAAATGGGTATGATAATATCATATGACATTATAAAACTCTTTCTTTTTTAATCTTAATATATTGTTTTTTATTCAGTTTGAGTTTAGCAGAGCAAAACATTATTCATAAATTAGTATGCATGCATATAAGTTTATGAAACCATCATTTTCTTTTTCATCAAAAGGTCAATCTACAAAGTTTGGTCTAAATAAATATCCCCACAAGTCTGATGTCAATAAAACAAGCACTGAGAAACAATGGGACAAAGAACTTAAACAATATATTACAATGTTTGCAGTGGAGTGCAATAAATCAAGTCTCTAATTTGCAAGGAGGACCATCCATCTGCTTGAAAGAACCCTCGCAGTAGTTGCTAATATCAAAATTGGTCACAGCATGAACTCCTCGAAGCTCAATCGCCGCAATGTCGTAGGCCTCTGCAGCTTCTTCCTCAGTTTCTGAATTCAAAAACCAGAAAAAAACAATAGAAAATTGACTATAAGGGCATTGAAATACATACCACCCAATTCCAATGTATAAGGGCATTGACATACATACCACCCAATTCCAATGTATTTACATATATAACACTTAAGCTCTACTTCTAAGTGTTAGACATGTAAATGCATGGGAACTAATGGGATGTATGTAAATCTTCCTTAAGTATGAATAATTGTTCAGTTTATAAGCTGTGTTAGAGGCAACTTTAGATGAATTCTCACCAAAAGTTCCAAGATATATGTCTTTAACATCTCTGCTCTCGCCAACCCGGCCAATTCGAGCCTGCCATTTCCCATCCTTCCTTCTTTCAGATCAAAATGAAAAAAAAAAATTTTTTGTTAGTTCCGATCTACTCAAAGAAGAGGAATGAATCAATCAAGAAAAATATTTTTCTGCTCAAATTGAATAATGCAGGAGATGAGGATTAAGGAACAACCTTGTCACTCCCCTATAAGCAGAAGCTCCTCTTGAGAAACAACTACTTTGTCTTCAATATTAATGCCACAGAAATAAACAAGAAAAGTTGCCAATCAATTCTTTGTGCTATTCAAAAAGCTTGCCAAATTACTAGAACCGAGTCATCGGAAAAAGATCGATCATATTACCGTCGAACATGAACGACATACTCGTCCTGACTCATGGTTTCCATGATCTCGAGCTCTTTCGCGTAATCAGAAACCTGCGAATAAGCACTAACAATCATCAGTTAATGATGATTAAGAATAAATGGTTTAGAAATGAGATATCATTTAATGATCTTACAGGGAAGTTGAGCTTGGAGGTCTGGCCTGGACCCCAATATTTAAGGACGGCGAGGTCATGCGCCCTAGCCGCCTTCTCCTCTGAGTCATAGCTTCCTAAATGCCCAACAATTTTAGAGTTCATCAGTTCTACAAAAAGAGTACTAAAGTTGGGGCATTTACATACATACCACACAATTCTAATCAATCAACATATCTTACACCTGAAGTTAAATTGTTGCATTTCTAACACAAAAATCTTTCTTATCACATCAAAAATTTAACCATCACTAACTTTTTCAAAGTAAAATACACCTTTTGATGTACAGATAAAATGATATTAATGTTAATATCGAAGTTTAGGTGCTAGTATGTAAATACATAGAAATTGTGCGGCATGCATGTAAATCTTCCTAGAAAATTTTACTGACGGTACTCACCCAAATAGACTGAAGCACCATAACAGCAGCATGACCACCACCGGTCGCATTTACAATGCAAGAATCCAGATAAAGAAGAGGTGAGAAGCAACCATAAAGATATTTATCATAAAAAAAAAAAAAATTTAATTGCTGCTTTGAATGAAAAAAAAAAAAAGATTAAATTCAGAAGAGATGGCTAGGCTAATGGGTATTGCTTGCATTTAGAAGTGTTGAATGCGGATTATGAATAAACCAAGTGCTCGTAAAATAATAAGCTTTACTTTTCCCATTTCTCCCATTTCAAAAGAATACATCAATTTCTTTATTTTTATACGATGAGTGATACTTCTCTACTTGCTGGAAGCTTTACAACTTCTGCCTTTCACGCTTCATGCTGCAATATCTAAAAGTACTGGAGCTGATGGGTTTGTCAGTCAGTTTGCTGACAGAGCTCAAATTCTGCTTTCTTGTTTTAATCATTTTACTAAGGTTTTCGGTCAACTGTGCACTCTCCAATGGGCTCTAGTTAATAGTGCTTTTTGTTATTGATATTGATGATGGTGGATGCGCAACCCGGCAACTTTGCTGTGAGTTGTGTAATTAGAGGATTCTATTGAGTTTATTTGTTAAACATTAAAACACCTATTTAACCTATTTAAACACATATGTTGAATAAAATAGTAGGTTTTACATCAAATAATTCTTTATGGTATCAGAGCTGGGATCGTGCAAGATTTCAACAGGCTAGGGTTGAGATCATTCGGCGGTGTAGAGGAAGCAGCTGAGCAACATCATTGCAAGAAGCCAGGCGAACAGCATTCCCGTCTTTTTGGCTGCGGTTGCTTTGTTTGTCACACGAGTTTATGGTCGCGCATGGGATGACGCAAGCCCTAGCTGAACAGCCAAGGGATTCAGAGTTGTGCGGGAGAACCTCTGTGAGCGACTTGTGCGAGAAGGGCTTTATCGAGGCGAACCGAAGGAATGAGGTCAAGGGTGAGGGTTGACAACATTGAAGAGGAGCCGTCGCCAACGCAGCTTGTGTGAGAACCAAACGAGGAAGGATGACGAGCCGCTTGCGAGAGCCGCTTCTTACGAACGAGGAACTCGCATTGGTTTGAGAAGCACAGTGACGAGGTTTGGTTTGAAGGGGGCTTTAAAGAGGGGCTGCAGGCGCCGAAGTGGATCCAATCAAACACGTACTGTTCAGGCAACATTGGTCGAGTAGACGGAAACGTCCCTTAGCCTCTACTGGCTATTTGAATCCCCAATCTGCAGCAAGGGAGAGGAGAAATGGCAGGAAAGAGTTTTTTTGTTGTGGGACTTCTATTGCTACCTCACTCTCTTCTTTGTGTGATCTAAATTGAATCCATATGATTGAGAATGCCAGGTGACTGAGATATTATGGTAGGCAAAAGATTGAAACTTCTGGAGAAGATGGATCCTGAGGTTCTGAAGGCTTGGTCGTGCTCATATAAAAAGCTAGTGTCTCGGCGGGAGCCACTACCTCAGCACATGTTCCGGCTCAACAAAGTGGACTTCTAGGAATGTGATCCACTTTGGTTGTCTCGAGCTCTGATAGGACAGCTACTCAGGGGGAGACTCGCAGGTGATACAACTACAGAGAAGTGGTACATCTGAGCAAGAAGTGTCCAAATCTACCGAATGAGACAAAGACGGGTGGTCATGGACATTCTAGAGGCCATGGTCGTAATCGAGGAGGCCAAAGGGGTAATAGAGAGGGCTACCGGTCAATTCTAATGGTATCAGAGAATGAGGGAGAAATATGGGAAGACTTTACCGATGAGGATGATGGCGCTAGTGAGTTCTCTTTCTATACTCACCTAGCAGTTCCAGAAATCATTCAGAATGTTGATGGTGCGACAGAGTCTATGGTTGCTAAGGGTACAGTGAGGTATACTAATTCTATGATTCTGTCCAATATTTTGCATGCTATTTCCTTTCCAGTAAACCTTTTATCAATCAGTGTCATTGTACTCCAACTAAAATGTGTTATTTCATTTGATATTTCAAAAATGATCTTTCAAGAGAAGGACCGGCACGTGGCATAGTCGACTCTAATACTTGGATAGAGAGAGCATGGACTCAGCCTTAGCATCTATAATTAAGAATGATGGAGTTGGAGGATCTGAGAGGAGTGTGAAGGATGTATTACTGCTACATCACACTCATGAGACACTTCGTTCAGTCTATTGATTCGTTTCTATCCATCCTTATATGAAAGGAAAAATACAGACAAAATGATGTGTGATGCTTGTGAGTTTGGCAAGCTCACTGGGAGAACTTTTGTTTATGGGAATGGGAGCTCTGGTGTGTTTGATTTGATACATGCTTATATATGGGGACATTGTCTTACTAGTTTTATGAATGACTATCATTATTTTGTTACGTTTATTGATTGTTTTTCTCGTGTTACTTGAATATTCTGAATGAAATAGAAGAGTGAGGTCATTGTTTACTTTAAAGATTTCCACGATGCAATCCAGACCCAATATGGAGCAACTCTGAAGGCAATGAGATCTGATAATAGGACAAAATATATCAACAAATCATTTGGGGACTACCTGTCAGCTCAAGAAATACAACACCAAACCACATGCCCAAACACACCAACACAAAATGGAGTAGCTGAGAGGAAGAATCAGCATCTTCTAGAGGTAGCCCGGGACATGATGATGACAATTAATGTCCCACAACACTTGTGGGGGCAAGCAGTGTTGAAAACCACTCAATCTATTAACAGAATGCCCTCAAGAGCGTTGGAGTCGAAGTCTCCTTATTATATATTAAAAGAAGACAATAGTGGGAACCTTCCATTGAAGGTATTTGGATGTGTGTGCTTTGTGTAAAAAACAGACTATTTGTAAGAAAATTGGATCTTAAAAGTATGAAATGAGTGTTCATGAGTTATTCTGCTACTCAGAAAGTTTATGTTTGTTGGAACCTAATTGAGAAGAGACTCTTTGTGAGTATGGAAATGTCATTCAGAGAGCTTCAATCATATTACGCTCCATAGATAAATTAACGATTCGGTGACTCAAGAGACACTAAAAATATAAGGCAAGAGAGAGTGAGTAGTAATAGGATGAAGTGGTGCAAGTTGGAGCAATTTTATGTCCTATGATGTGGGATGAATCAACTGAGGAGATGAAAATTGAAGAGATTGAATCTAGAAGTGGTGAGATTCAGACTAAAGGTGAGCTAAGGGTGTATACATGGAGCATGGAGGAATAAGCAAACTGAGAAAACAGAGTCTGTAGTACCAACAAATCCCTTGTTTCGGACATCCCCAAATCTTGAGACACCTACACCATCAACATTTGATTCAAAACTCCTATGTGATATTATTCATCTTCCGTCCAATCCTACCCCCCCCCCCCAATCCCCCCACCGGACCTCCCGCAGCAATGCGGGACATCATAATGACCATTTTAGGTGGGAACTTGACATTACAAACTTTATTTTTTATTCTAGCATCTCACCATTGCATGAAGCATTCATTGTATCATTGGACTTTGTCTCTATACATAAGTGTTGGCAGGTTGTTAAAAAAGATTCAAGTAGAAAGCGGCGATGCAAGAAAAGCTTGGAGATCTAGATAAAAACCGAACATGAGAGATCATACCTCTACCAGTAGAGAATAAAGTTGTTAGATGCAAGTGGATTTTCACAGTAAAGCAAACTCCAAAAGAGAAGGTGAATATGAACAAAGCACGACTAGTGGCAAAATGATACAGTCAGACGTATGACATTTATAATGAAACATTTGCATGAGTTACAAAGATGAGCATGATGAGGACACTGTCTTCTCTGGCAGTGAATGGTGGATGAAGGCTCCACCAATTGGATGTGAAGAATGCTTTACTTCATGAGGAGCTACTAAACGAGGTACATATGAACATACCGCCAGAATTCAGTACATTCCAAACAGTGAGCAAGGTGTGTAAGCTCAGAAAGTCACTGTATGACTTGAAGTAGTCCCATTGAGCCTGATTTGACAAGTTTAGAATGACTATCCTTGAGCAGATCAATGCAGATCACACCGTGTTCTTTCGGCAAAAAGAAGGTTACACTACCATACTTGTTATGTATGTAGATGACATAATTATCACTGACGATGATGAGGTAGAAATTGCTCAACTGAAAGGAAGATTAGGGAAACAATTTGAGGTAAAAGACTTGGGACACCTGTCAAGAGGGAGAATGTTGTGAGTTGTGTAATTAGAGGGTATTATTTGTTTTCTTTGTTAAATATTGTAACATCTATTTAAACACATATGTTAAATGAAATAGTAGATTTTACATCAAATAATTCTTCAAACTTATTGATCCTCAATCACTTTTACATAGATCAGCTTTACATTTTTGTTGTTGTGGGATCATGCATGCTTGTCAATTTTTTTTATCTGAGTACATCCAATTTTTGTAAGCCGTTTTTGGGGTTTTCTTGCTTGTTTTTTTACCTTCAATTCACGCACTACCCATATATGGTAGATTTTGAACTCAAGATTGACAAAGCTCACAACTAGGTCTCCTTGAGTTTTTCTTTTTTTTTTCCTTTCTTAAATTTATGCACTACCCATATATGCTAGACCTTGAACTCTTGACTTAATGGTTCGTGACAAAGCTCTCAATCCCTATGTCTCCTTGGGTTCCGACTTTCCTTGTTACTTGAGAAAAAAAAGCTCCTCCCATAAACAATACACAAATAGGAGGATGGGCAAACACATTACATTCAGATACTTGTAAATGTCAAATACTTCTAAGAAAGCTAGTTTATCTTAGGTCTCTTGTAAGATCTTTATTTATTTATAGTCCTTACTAATTTACATAACTTTAGTCCCAGTAAATTTAAAATTTTTAAAGATTATCAAATAAATATTTACCTTCCTCATTACATGTATGCCACGAGCCCATGCAATCATCCACCCTTTCAACAGATCCCCATTAGTTCCCACCCTCTCTAAATCTACTCATCTCCAGAAAGCATCATATTACTATTTCCTTACATATAGTTATTATAATTTGTTATTAATAATAACAGAATACAACTTTTCAACTGCCAGACGATATTCAAAAGTAATTAGATTGAAAGAGTTCAATTGATGTCTGGTAATAATAAGATCTAGTTTTTTAGTAATCACATGCTACCAGAAATAACCATATTAAAAGACAAATAGAAATCAAAGGACTAAAAATTAAATTTCAAATTTAATAAGTATAATTTGAAAACATAGTATTGAATAAGAAATAAAAATAAATTTTACGATCTAAAAGCAATTCTTCAAAAACAAAAAATCTATGGCTGCACAAACTCGTTCAAAATTCCACAAGCACCCCTTAGATAGATTCACATTGTACAACACTTTCAAAATTCACTAAAGATTGAAAACAAATTACCGTTGCATCAAAAAGGCAGGAAAGCCAGAAGTCAATAAGGAGGAGCCAACAAAATGAGGAAAGAAATTGTAAATGAAAGAGAGTAGAAGAGAAAGAAAAAAATTTTGAAATGAGCAATGAAGAAATTTGTGTTACCGTTCCTATTTCTTTTCCATAATATCTCTATCTAGCCCCTGAGGAAATAAAAATTTGAAAAATTAGCTATGATAAGAACATTTGGATTCACTCTAGATGGTTAAATCTAATATTCAAGGGTAAAAGGGTTTTACGCACAAGCAAAGAAGCCGCGTGCCTTTAGGAGCTTTCCCAAAAGATACAATGATGAAATGCTTCATTAGCTCAATTTAGACCCTGCTAAACAATAATAAGAACAAAGTCTTAATCCCACTATGTGGGAAAAAGTTGGCTACATGAATCCTCTTTCCTCCATTGCATCCTATTTAGAGTCATATTTTCATTTAGTTCTAATAAATAAAGATCATTTTTTTATACAATAAGCACAAGCCTTCCTAGGTCTATCTCTGCCTTTCTTAACATAAGTCAAACCTAAAACATCTGCTCTCCTATTCGAATCATCAGATGGTCAACATTTAATGTGACCAAACCATCTAAGACGACTCTCTCTAATTTTGTCCGTCACCGGAGCTACAGGAGCTACACCACTAACCCTATCACGGATATATTCATTCGCATTTTGTTTCTAAGTACAAGACTAAATAAAATTTATATAGAACTTGAGACTCAACTCTAGCAAATTTATCCTAAAACCAAACACAAATAACTCTCCTAAATTTGGATAATTAGAAAATTGGTTAAATTGTCAAAGAATATTGAAATTAGAATTCTCAACAAACAATAACAATGACTGGAGAATAAACATTCATAAATCCAGTACCAAATAGTTGCACAACAAAATAATGGTGATAAGGATGATGTGCCAAATTTCTTAAGCCAAACCAGACCTTAAAAAGGTGATAATGTTCCAATAATTATAACAATAATATAGGAAAAAACCTAATTGCTTGAGTCAAACCAGACCTTAAAAAGTAAAAATGCTCCAATAATTATAGCAATAATGTAAAAAAATAACTAACTCTAATCAAGGAATAATGCTTAATTCTCCTTCAGGACGAACCAAATCAGCTATGTAAAAAGTTTATTACCAGAAACCTTCAATGAGGAAGATCATTGTTTAAGCGTACCCCTGTAAAGAGAGCTTTCATAAATTTTCATCTAAAACAATAACACCTATGAATATGAAAAGATAAAATGCAGCCTCATTTCCTGAAAAAAGTTGATAAGGATTTGGATGAAATTGAATTCGATTATTCAATAAAATCATTGACGTGGTAAAGCAATCTATACTTCCTTGAACTTATTCTAAATGTAAGATAGCACAACTGCTAGCATGCCTAATCCATCTCTTGATCTAAAAACAATACTCCATTTCAACTGATAAGTCCAATCAGAACCTGAGAAAGATGAAGCAAAACAGAGAGATAAGGCAGGTAAGTTATACCATGTTTTCCCTTCCGCTTTCTCCCTTCAACTTTACTGGTGTTATCCCATAGGTGTGCTTCGTATTTCCCACTCCATTTTAGCCTGAAGCATTGAACACAAGCAATAGTTAAACCTTCAATTCCTCAATTCAAAGGTAATCTCATCTAGGGGCAAGAAGTGAACCGTATGTCAACTCACTTGGTAACTCCATGGTAGCATGAAGATCTCGGTACAGCATATTTCCTCATTGCCGCAGCAAGAAGAGTACCAACCTTCTTCTCTCCGCTGTTTGCAGGCACAGAGTTCCCTTCTGGATAACTGTTTTCCTGTCCAGAATAATTCTCTTGAGCTCCAGCATCTTGATTGGAAATTGATTGTCCGTCCGCCATACCAGCACCTGGCTCTACAGATGCTACAGAGATTGCCTCTCTATCTTCTCCTTCAACAACATAAGCCTCAATTTTATCAACTCCTGCCGGCATTGAAATAGCAGTATCACCCTTGGACCAAGGCAAACCGTTTACATCTCCAGCGTCGGAGAATTCTCGAGATATCTCGGAGACCGCCAAGCCGTCTACATCGTCGTTCGAGAAGGGAAGCTGATGCTTCTGATCTATGAAAGAATCAATAACATCCGGAGGATCCCGCGACTTGCTCTGTTCAATCATTAGCGAAAAGAAAATAAATCCTAAACCTATCGTTCAGCGGATTGCGGCGAGACTCGAGAATCCGATGAATGACTGGAACGGCTAGCGTTTCAGCCAATAATCCACTCGCATCTGAGGGGTATCTCTGTTAATTTTATATAAAACAGCATCAATGTCCTCCGCGCAGACAACTAGGGTTTGGACGGATGGAAGGACGGTAGGATGGAGGGTAACAGGAACAGCATGCCAGTTAGGAGGAAGACGATGTGCGGTAAAGTCACGGGGGGTGGGTGTATGCAGACGCCTCCTTGAGATCCACGCCAAGCAGGATTCTGAAAGCTGCTGTCACGTGGATCGCACGGATCTCCAGGCTAATCGATGGAACAGAAATTTTTTCATGCGCGGATCAATCTAAATCGCAGAAATTATTAGTATGAAACCAAAGCATTAACTTCAATAACATCCCAATAATCTCTGTGATTACAATTTTAATTATTCTTCAATAATCTCTGTAACATAGCACTGTGGCGGCTTATTATTAGAGTCGTGTGCATACGTGCTCTGTATGAAAAAATTTCTTCGTCGGTTGAGACGTCGTATGAAGAAATTATGATTGAACACTATACACATTTAAGGTGGCATATACGCATAAATTAAACATTTGCTCTTAGATACATAAATACAAAAGAATTGAGTGATGTTTGTACAAATATCTCCTAAATTTTAGAATTTTTTTTATTTTGATCTTAAAATTATTTATTAAAAAAAACTATTCATTAATTTAGATATGTTGGAATTTAGGACACACGTGTCTACATATCATTTTTTTTTAAATATTAATTAATTTAGATAATTCTATTTCGAGTATCATACATGTCGGAGGAGCACCAGAATAATATGTGAATCTGATAACACTACATGACACTCTTATTAAAAGTGTCTGAGCATTATAACACAAAAATAGAAAATCATTCGTATTATTAAACTAACTTTTATCTTTAATTTTTAAATCTTCTACTAAATATCAACGTCCACAACAAAATTTCAATTTATAATTATTGTCACGACACATGCAAATACATAAATTCAATAATGTAAATAAATAATATCAGCACAAAAATTAAAAATAATTAATATTAAAATTATATGTAAGTTATTCCTCTCAAGAAAAAAAAATGTTTGAATATTGTTTATAAATTCTATTAAACTAGAGTTATGATTCTTTAAATTTATTTCAAAATCACATACATAAATGTATATGTGTATATAGATGTATATATGTATATATACATGTACATATACAGTATATAGATAAAAATAAAAAAGACAATTTATTAAAAAATGGCATAAATAAGTAAGAGAATAGAAATATTTGCTGATTTTAATAATATATTTGTTGATTTTACTTATGAGTTGATATATCAAGTTGAAATGGAAGATAGCACTAGGAAAACTTGGGCATTACCATATGAACATTTGTTGATTTTACTCATCAGTTGATATGTCAGAGTGCTACTTTTAAACTTTATTCGGTTACTATGTATACATATGAATTGGAGGAATAAAAATTTGAAAGTAAAACAACTTATTTTTTGGGAGGTCAAGCAAATTAATCATAACACATCATACCATACCACACCACAGCTTCAAGCATAAACTTATATAAATTCATTTAGATTTGAGGATCTTTAGCCATGCAGACAACAGAAGGAAATCACCTTTTTTTAGAGGCATGTTTAGTGTGCTATTATTCATTGTGTTTAGTGTTTAAAAGTTGAGATAAATTGAGGTTCTCTACAATTTTTCATATCTTTTAGAAAGTGCGATAATAAAATATAAAGTATTACCCTACAATAATATGATAGGGGTTGGGGTTTCACCATGAATTTTGATATTTGATTGAGAATTGAAAAAATGAATGAAAGCGGGTGCTCTTCCTATCTTTACATGGTCTTCATTAGAAACTGCGGCGGTTCCATCTCCACAAATGTTAGTAGCTAAAGAAGGCAAAATTAATAAGAACGAAAAACCCAAAAAAAAAAGACTGAAAACAGAATGTGGTGTTCGTTAGAATGGGGAGAATGAACACACTATTAGTCCGCCAACAGAAAAACTAAAATGCGTTGTTGTTTTGTCATCATTCTGACTGCTCTGCTTCAATTTCAGCAGCAACCATGGATTCATTTAGGAATTCTTCAGCTTCAGGAAGAGGAGATTCTTTCTCATCCTCGGAATACAAAATTTTTAGTATTGCTTTTGTCAACTGTATAAAAAGAAAATGATACATAATTTAATCATATGCATATATATATATATATAATGTTGAGCATCAGCTTCATATATAAATATGGTATAGAAGGAACTATGATTCTATCATAGGACAGAAAGTTAAAGATGCGAAGATGAATTTCCTATCTAACAAATTAAAAGTTTCCCACCTGCCCTTCTTCACCACAGTCCTATAAATTTTTTACCTAATATCTATATTATTATGTCTACTTTCATCTCCTGAACATGTTTAAGCTGTTTACCTACCACCTCTAAGCATCATATAATCTCATAACAACAACAAAAAATAGAGAGAAGGAAGAGCACATTGAACTTTCAATTATAGCACAGAAAAGTTATTGCAGTCAAAGAAAAAAGATGGGAAGAAAGTCTCGTTGCCGAGAAGGAAAGAAGATAACAAAAGCAGTAATAACATCTTCAATTTCAATCCTCCTTTTCACAACATGTGGCTATGTTTTCTCTCAATCATAGAGAAAGCGGTATATCTATCCATGTTATTTTAAAAAAAAAATCTCTGATGACAAGTAAGTTTTGCCAGATAACTACATGCACACAAAAAAGAATATCAGATTTTGTTTGTGCCATAAAACTGAGTTTTGTCACAAATCTTTGATACCTCCCTTTTTCCACTGGGGTGTTATACTCTTCATTTGATGCTAGTCGATTGTGATTTGTAAAAGTATCTGTTGGTTTGTGAACCCCAACATTCATGTCTCTTTTAATAAATTGATGATATATTTTATCTCGGATATGACAATGTCTTCTTTGGATCTAACTACTTACATTCTAATGACGTATCTTAAAGTTCCAAAATCTTTGATCTCAAACTCACAAGTCATTATTCTTTTGATTGTTTCGAGTTCTCTTACGTCATTTCCTATAAGAACAATATCATCAACATATTGAATAAAGAAAACTATTATGGGTACCGAAAATTTGAAATACCCCGAACACTTGTCGAGAGCATAATGTGTTTAATTTCGGATCAAATTTTCAAAAAACAAGTGAGATGGTAGATAAAACCCTGCCAAGAGATTTCACCCTCATCCTGCGAGAACTTTAAGATCTAAATTTGGTGTTTTCCCATAAACGCAAGCTCTTATAGTTGATTACCCCTCCTGATTGCTAGAGCACTTTAAGGCTAGTCATTAGGCACTAAGTATTCATATTTAGCAAATAATTGCAGCAAATTCATATATGAAAATTATGAAATTATCACTGTGAGCTTGGAGTGGATGGTGGGGGATATGATGATGAGCCCGATCAAGATCTCATGATTCTGTCTTCCTGAGTTGTCATAGTCCTGAGCCTACTTAAGTAGCAGAGATGGTCAACCTAACCTGATAGAAAGATCCTTAACAGCAGTCGTGGATTTCCTCATCCAATGGAGTCTTATAAACTTATCGCTAATATTTATCTAAGAGAACTAATCTAAGTCAGCATTAGCTTAAAAAGAGATTTGTGTCCAATCAAATATAAATTATAACTAAAAAGAACAGAATGTCATTGGGGAATATACGATGTCTGTGAAAGATCTTGTGGTGAAATATGTGCAAAGGTTCACTTAGAGCCCATCAAATATCGCCTGTTGTCAGCATCTAAATCTGTCTTCCAAATCTGATGGTGATTAATGTGATGAGCTTGAAGCGGCATTCTAACAAAATCTTGTTAGCAATTTGACGCCCTCCAAGCGTCGTTCCCACTAGAAGGTTGCATCAAGAAAGCAGGGCCCGCCCACCCGTCTAAAGACGTGCATGGATGGCGTTTTGCAACACTAAGGCCATAAGTCTTCTAACCCATCCATCTAAAGGACATGCATGGGTCTGCAGATACCTGTTTAAAAGTACTAGCAAATTTCCGACTCGTTGGAACAACGAGAACATGTACGTATATTTATAACTTGTAGCATTTTTATTAGCACTAACGTCAGTTTGAAGTTAAGTAGCCTCTCGATGTCATCCCCGCTCGAGAGGGCTACCTCGAGAGTGTTGTGGACCCCCGCCCGTCTATAAGACATGCAAGAGTGATAGTTTGCAACAGCAGGGCCTATAATTCTTCAAAACAACCCGTTTAAAATACATGCATGGGCCTTCAGGCACCTGTTCAAGAACAGTGAAATTTTCCTGCCTCAGTGGAATAACGAGAACATGTACTTAATTATGTTTCCAAATTTATACATGTGCATGCGGCGACTGCGATGAAGTGTGGCGACAAACAGAGCTATGAGAAAATATTGCAGTAAAAATGGCAACTGGGAGAAGTTGCAGAATTTCTAATCTCCATTTCTATCATGGCAAAGCATGGCCAAAATGACAGCTTCAATTCATTTTTCTGATTTTTGCCTTAAATCCAAAATGAAGAAACTGTTTGGAAGCAAAAAAACAAACAAAATTGAGCTGGATTCACTGGATTCAACTTCAAATCTAGTTAAAAAACTTTAAAATCCTTATTAATCTTGAATCCTGCTTTTTCCATGGCAAACAACCAAAGTGGCAACTTTAAATTTTACGAGATCTTGAATCCCATTTTTCCTCACAGGCAAAATAACAACTTTTAATCATACAGAACTTAAATCCCATTTGTCTTATTCAACTCTGAATCAAACCAAAGTGGATATTCGATAGCAGAACCTGAGCAATACTAGAGGTAGGGAGATCAGCTTAGGACTCGATCTCATGCATAATTCTAGCCCTACAATTCGGGAGGTAGGGAATCTCTCCCCAACCCTAAGCCTATGGCTCTAGACCCAATCTCATGCATAATCCTAACCCTAAACATATTAGTCTCATTTATGCTAAACAATAATAAATAATAAAAGACTAAATTCCTTAGGCTAATACAAGACAAAGTTACCCTTAGTCAAGACATCGTCGTAACATGAATTTTCTTTGATTTTCGTGGTCATGGCGTTGACAAGTTATGACATGACCATGTAATATTCAATCTTCCATGTCTGGTATTTAGGATCAGTAATTTGTGGTGTAAGATTTTTCTCGGTGAGATAATCATCTTTTCTTTTACCACTGCAGATGAATACAGATTGAGATTATTGAAGAAAATTGTTGTCATGTAGTTTATGATTGGTGATACAAGAAAAAAAGTCAGATGTTGCATAACCAAAAATCATATGTTCAGCTTTAGATGTAACTTCTCAAAAAGAAGCAACAGCCTTCATATTGTGAATGGTCATCTTCACAATTTATATGAGAGAGGAATTGTATGTCGTCGACACAAAATTTCTACTGGAAAGACAAATTGCTTATGGCCGACACAGAATGTCTACTAGAGAGAGAAATTGTCTATTGTCAATAACACAAGATTTTCAAAAATTTTCTAGGATTTCTACTAAAGGGAAAGTTCATGCACCAAGTTGGGATTTCTATCAAAGACCATTCTTGAAATTACTAATTCCCTTAGGCAGAGAAGACTGCAAGTCTAGCTTGCTATTGCTTGGACAAAGAACGACAAAGGAGGGTGTAAGTCTAGGACGCAAGCAGAGATGAGGTCGCTTCCGCTGATGCCTATGAGAAGTTTTCGGCTTGGAAGATTCTAGTTGTTGAAACGATTCAACGTAGAAATCGAAACAAATTTTCGTATAAATTAGGGAAAACGAAAATTTTATTGTAATAATCCAACAAATCAATAAGAACACAAAGATAAGCACCTAAGATTCGAGAGGTAGACGATCTCTCCCAATTCCTACAATTCGAGAGGTGGAAAATCTCTTCAAAAACCTAAACCTACGACTCACAACTCAATCTCATGCATATGTCCCTAACCCTAGACATAACAAGCCTATTTATATGCCCAATAATAATAATAATGAAAGACTAAACTTCTCTTACGCTCACAAAAGACAAATTTAGCCTTAGGCTAGGAGCCCTTGTAACAATACTCCCTCCCCAAAAGACAGATTATCCTCAAGGTGAGAAAAAATGAGACAGCTAGTCGATCAAGTCGGGTGGCTTTCAGGTAATGTCATTATTTAATAATCATTTCCATTTAATCAGAAATTCATAATGATCTAGAAAAGTTTGAAGTTTTGTGCACATCCTTTAGTTGCATCTGAATCGGTAGGTGGCCTCATTTCCAATCAATCTTAGAGAATATAGCAGCCCCAAACAACTCATTATGTAGCTTATTGATCACCACAATCTCCGTCAACTCCATATCAAGTATCTCTTCCATCTTTGTCAACTTCGATCTTGTTTGCTTGTGTTTGTTAAAGTCGTCAGTATGTCATATTATTTTTTCTAAGTGCTGCAACTCCCGATCCTCTTAAAGTGGTGATGTTGTCCTGATGTCACATGAATCCCTCTGATTGCTGTTGTTGGAGTCTGTTCCTGACGACATCGCTCGACCACGTAGCAGATGAAGCCGATATTGCGCTAAACTCAATTATCTTCTTATCTTTTCTTCCATACCTCTTGCATAATCTTATCTCGATGTTTTGGCTTATCTGCCTTCATAAAAAATCTTAATCTACCCCTAATCAGAGCCCTGAGAGGAAGTTTGTGATGGTGGATGTTTTCCTCCTGTTCCTGACATTTGATCTTGCCACGGATTCTCCAGTCAACCTTTGTTTAAGGTTTGCAAATTGAGGTATCAGTGGGTTCTTGGATTGCATCTCAATGAGCCTCTTTAGCATCTCTCGAATTTCCCCCAAGCTCTCGAATCAATCCTCCAGTCGATTCTCCATAGAAGAGAACCTCTCCTCTTTGGTAACGAATCTTTCTTACATCACGAATTTGATTTGACTAATCTCTTTCTCCAATGTTATCCCCAGATTATCTACTTTCTTTGATGTCATCTCTTACAAAAAAATTCAGATGTAAAAGACAAATTTTATACCCTGAATTCCTGCCGATTCTTCTCAGCTAGCTCGAATCACAGCTGTACCTAAAATAACATTTTCCGGATCACGCCAATCCCGTCATCGCTTCCCAAGAAGCACATACCGCGACTGTACGCATATAAATCGACGCGATCCTAGAATATGGGAGTTCAGGTCACTGTGCGCGACAATCCCTCGCGACTGCCTACCAAGATAGCTTTGATCGTTACTAGATCGCGTAGACGGTGCGAGAGGAAGAAAAAAAAAAGGAAGTTTTGGGTCCCTGTGCGCGGCGATCCCCCACACCTGTCTTTCCAGATAGCTCCGATCGTGACTGGATCGAGTAGGTGTTGCGGGAGGAAGAGAAAATTGAAGTTTCGGATCCCTATGTGCCGCGATACCTCGCGCCTGCTTTCTCAAATAGCTCTGATCGACTAGACAACACAGAAGGAAAAGAAAAATGGAAGTTTTGGGTCTTTGTGCGCCGTTTCCCAGTCATTGCCTTCCCAGCAAGTTATGCTCACAATTGCAACGAAGGTTTAGGTCACAAAGGCGAGCCCTGATCCCGACGTTGTTGCGTGCGGCAGAAGAAGGCGAGAGAGATGCGAGTTTCGAGAAAGCAAGTGGCGGCCAAGTGGCGATCCTTTGCGTCGGAGCTTTCCTAATTACAATACCAAGTGGCGGCCACTCTGTACACAACAATCCCTTCCCGCAATCTCGACGTAGAAGGCGACGAGAAATCTTCCTCGCAACGATCGAGTAGTTAATTTCCCATAATTTGAAATATTGATACAAATTTGATACTACTTAGAAATCGCATAGACAGGACAAACACAAATTTTATTGTAATAATCCAACAACACAAAGATAAAACACCTATGATTTGAGAGGCGGACAATCTCTCCCAGTTCTGACAATTGGAGAGGTAGGAAATCTCTCCCAAAACCTAAATCTACAACTCACAACTCAATCTCATGCATATGCCTCTAAACCTCGCCATAATAAGCCTATTTGTACCCAATAATAATTATAATAAAAAACTAAACTACCTTTAGGTTTACAAAAGACAAGTTTGCCCTTAGGCTAGGAGCCCTCGTAACAGTTGTCTACGAGACAAAGCAGAGGAGATTCTGACTGCCTGAGAGAAGAAGTCGGAGGAGATTTCGGCCTAGGATGTTTCGAGAGAGGACGCATCTGCTGCCAAGGAGAGTCTAACTGCAAGAACTGAGGGTTGCAGGCTGCCGGGAGAAATTCTGGTAGGTGTAGGGAGGTACCGAAAATT